CAGGGGATTCAGCCTCCTCTCTTCACTCTTTTCCTTCCACATTCACTTTTCCTGCTCCTTTGAAGCGGGMTGGAGGAAAAACCACCCTTAAACACTCAGCACCTGGAAAAGGCAAAGAGACTCTGGSAAYCAGAACAAAAAGCTGATTTTYTGAGATGCTCCCRACTCTTTGCTCTGTTTTGGTGACTYCACYRAAAKRCAAAGCCACGAATGGGGTGTGGTGACCTTGCAGAGCCACTCAAGGCAGGCAAAGGCTCCCGAAGCACCTCCAGAGCCTCCTGCAGCTGGGCCCTGCCATTCCCCGGGCCAAGGTGACATTGGGGACCCGAGGGACCATTTCCAGAGCTGCCATGTGACTGGCCAAAGCTGCAAGTCACTCCCTTGGCACAAARAGTCCGGAGAGATCCTCAGGTGCTCCTCAGCAGCCACGGGGACCTGGCACGGCCCGGCCCAGCCTCGCAGCTCAGGGGGTGTGGACAGTCCTCCTTTTTCAAGGAAATCAATAATTGAGAGTTTTTAATTCTCCTGAACAGAATATCCAGGGAGCTTCTGGTGCCTCCAATGTGGATCCTCTGCAGAAGCACGAGCAGCTCGATGAGATCCCTCCCCAGGGAGATGGAAAGTGTGCGAGGAAAATGGGCACAAATTCAGAGGGAAAGAACAGGGTGAGAGGGGCTCAGGAGGAGAGATGGGCTGGAACACGAATGGATCAGAAGGAAAGAGAGGTGGAGAGGATGGAAAATCCCMAAAAAATGGGAATCCTGCTCAGGCTGTGGAAATGGAAGAGGAAGACGAAGGCAAACACCGAAGGAGATGAGGCCACGAGGCCGCTCTGCTCCCACTGCTGGGGAGTTTTCCTGAATTTTGTCCGCACATGTGAACAAGGATGTTCATTTACCTGCCTTTTGGGTCTTTTAATTGAAATGTTTTGGGTTGCCATAATAAAAATGGGCAAGCTTTGCTCCTACCATGTGCTTTAGGCCAGGAATTGAAAGGAATAGGGAAAGAATTCTCTCTGGTCCTTGCACAGAGACAAAAGGGAACTAAAGCAGGACAAGAGGAAACAGCCTCAGGCTGTACCAGGGGATGGTCAGTTTGGACATCAGGAGGAATTTCTCCATGCAAAGGGGGTCTCAATGATCCTGAAGGTTGGACTCGATGATCCTGAAGGTCTTTCCAACCTCAGGAATTCTGGGATTGTGTGACTCCAATTCTCCAGAATGGAACTGAGCAGAGAAAAGAGCAGCACCTTGGACAAAACCACGGCTGGACTACGAGCCCAGGACCTGGGACTCCCTGTGCCACAGTTCCTTTTCCAGGTCACACCGTTTCTCCTTTAAATATCAATTTACAGGTGCTGGGAGGTTCAGGTGCTCCGTTAAAATGCAGTTTCAGTTTCCTTAGACAAACCAAGATCACCGTGTCCTCCTGCAGGGAAAAGCAAGCAGCTGATTCGTCCCTGTGCACGCTGCAAAAGCAAAGACCTGTGATGCAAAGCCTTCTGGAGAGGGGGAAAAAAAAAATCTTGGAAAACTTCCCGTGATTCAAGCAGATTCGCAATTCCTGATGATTCAGAGGAGGGCCTTTTTTAATGGCTTTAAAAAAAAAATTCTTGGTGGAAAGTCACCGAGTGTGGGAAGCAGCAAGGAGCACCCAAAGCATGGTGAGATGGACACAGCATCTCCTGTCACCCCACAGCTCAACCTGCAGCTCCTCCTAGAGATGGCAACCCAGCTTGTTCCATTAAATTGATATCAAAGAAAGCAAGGAAATTAAACTGTGAAGAAYCTCAGTTTCAGCCTAACAAAACCAGGGACTGTGCTCCTCAGTCCATCACCAGTGGATCCCTCCCCTCCCTCCCCAGCAGTTTGCCAACCCATCACTCCCCTCACAACAGCATTTCTTGAACACCTCAGCACCCATCAACACCTCCTGCCACATCACCTCAATGCCAGACAAATGAAAATCAAGATCAAAGGGGATTAATTAGCTTATCTCCTTTTTTTTTTTGCCATGGTTCTGTGTCCCAGTGCTTCACAATCATCAACTTCAGACTGAATTCCACATAAGTGATGAAAAACACACCAAAACCCTCCCTGTTACCCCTCGATTAAATTCTTCTTATTGCCCTGATGGTTAAAATTAGCACAACTTGAACTATTTTTAGTTTCCAGAGCTTGTTCTCCTCACTCCATCCTTAAAGAACGATCACATCATCTCTACGAAACCTCACAGAAAAATACACGAGAAAGCAAATCAACCAAACCAKACTCCCCATCTTCTTCCGCTTCAACCACACCCAAACCTGCAATTTCCCAAGAAAAAGGCGTTTTAGCGACTCCTTCCTCGCAGACTCACTTTCTGGGTCATATAATAAGGGTCAAAGTCCTCCAGCGGCACAGCAACCAGCCCTTTGGGGATGTCCCCGTAGATGAAAGGCAAATTCTTGCCCGCCTCAAGGTCACTGTTTGGTTTTGGTTTGCTGTCCTCGTCGTCATCGCGGTGGCTGCTGTCCTGCTTGGAGCGCTGCTTCTTCTTCAGCTCGGCGATGTGCTTCTCGATGTTGGCCAGCGACTCCGGAGTGAAGGGCTTAAAACTCTCGGGGCCTGGTGGTGCGAGCAGCCGCGCTGCCATCTTTTCATCCTGCAGCARCTTCTTTTGCGATGTTGCACCCCGGGCAGGTCAGCTCTGC